CCACAAAGGGTTAAAAAAAACCTCCTTCTTTCTCAACAGGTGGAGGAATCCACCCTGCTGACCTGCTGCTCTGACCCACATCTGGTGGTGGAGGTGTGGTTGCGCAGGAGCTGCTTGTGTGTGTGTGTGTGCGTGTGTGTGCGTGCGTATGAGAGTTATGAATGTTAATGAGTCGTGTGTGCGTGTGTGTGTCTGTGTGGATGACATATAATTATCCAAGCATGTGTTTGTGCCAAGTTGTGGAAGGCACCGTACTTTCCACAGACACACAGACACACTCTCTCTCACACACACACACACGCACAGAAAATGACAAGAGAAAGATGAAAATAAGAGGAGGAAAGACAGAGTTTCTCAAATAAAGAGGAAAACTGTCCTCATTTCACCTAAGAAACCTTTTATAACAAAATGACCTAAGCTGAACTGTGAAGTCAGTGTAAACAGACTTATGTTTTTAAAAGTTATCTATTTGATAGCTACGGTTTTAAGCTTATTATCTGAAAGTACTTATTTCAAATTAATCTGCCTCTGGTATTGATACAGTATCTTTTAATCAGTAGGTTAATGTTTTTGTTTGAACTCTTGGTATCTTTAAAGGACAGTAAAATAGTTTGGTATTGGAACTATACTTAAATTACTCACTCACCAACTCCTATTCATTCTTTGAAAGTGACAGGTTTTTTTTAGTTTCTTGAGACATTAAAGCTAAAGTATGTAACTTTTATAAAAAAAAAGTATTTTACATTTTTGTTAAAACTGTCGACATGGTGACAGATAATTTGTGAAAATGACCCATCTCCTTCTCCTTCTGTCTGAAATACTGCTGCGTGAAGAAATGGACCGCTCCCGACCAAAAACAACCAATCAGAGCAGGGAGGAGGGTCTTAGTGCTGTTTATCAAGCTCATGTACTCACTTCTCAAAGTCCGAATGGCGGAAAAACAACTTACCCTTACAAGCAACGCGTTTGGTCACACTAACTAGCCTGAGCATTGGCAACAGGATCTGCTAGCTGCAGCGAGCAAGAAGGAGAAGGGCAGCACCACAGGGAAGATGACTGACAGTGCTAAGGCCCTCCCCTTGGCTCTGATTGGTTGTTTCTAGGTAGCACTGGGAGAAGGCAGAGGTCAGTTTTTTTTTTTTTTTGACAGATTATCTGACTCATACCATACCATCACAAATATTTTGATAGTTTAATATGTAAAAAAAAAAAAAAAAAAAAAAAGTTTTTTATAAAAGTTACATACTGCAGCTTTGATGTCTTCAGAAAATTCACAACTTGCCGCTGTTGACAATGTGTTTATCAGGCAGGTTAGCCTGTTAGCTTTCTGTTTAGGCATGACTTGGTCATTTTTAAGGTAAATTTTTAACGACCTCCTGGTTAAATAAAACTATAAGATTTTTTTTATATGCACATGATGTCAACTATGTTACACTTTTTGATCGCGATTTGTCAGCTAAATAGGTTAGTCCAAGAAAATGCTTATAGCTGGGGGTAAAACACACTGTTAATTGACAAAAGTTTCACACTACAAATGTTTCTGCACAAGTGACAACTAAAGACTGTATGTTCTTCCACGTATTGCAGCAGGCTGATTCTTGAGATTAGACTCATAAGAAGACTTCATGCACATCATTAAAAGAACAGAAAAAGTATATTTTAAAAAATCATTTTTATTTGTTAAAAAAAATCACATCATACAACATGATTCATTCCTTTAAATGTACAAAGATGTAAAAGCATTGTTTCCAGGACAGAAATTGGAAGCAATTGAATTTTTATTATAGTTTACAATATAAACAAAACGTACTGGTTGCTACACTTGTACTGGGTCATCTGGAGTCATCCTTGTTTTTTTTTTTGTTTTGGCTCCTGTACATCTAAAATTCAATAGAAGCAACATTTACAACATTTTCAGCGAAAGCACAGCGCACCGCAGTGTCTCCGGGTCCCACAGGTTTCCTGCGTTTAACCTGTCTAACGTTTCCAATGAAATAACAGGTCATCCTCCTGCATGACAGCAAGCAACAATTATCTATCTGCTAAAGTTTGTGGCTTTCACATGGTCCAAAAGTCAAATAAACCGAAATGGGCAACACAATTTGACACAGTCATTCCAGCAGTGCTTGATGCAAGTCATTAAAACCCTGAATGTGTCATAAACATACGCGCGCACACACACACACACTCATACGCGGACAAGTGTTTCTGTGCTCGAACACCTTCAGAAGACATGCGAACAATATGCTCATTACAAGGTTTCCATATCAGTTTCAGAAAGCAGTAAATCGTCTCTCGGTTTCCTCCCTGAAATGCTCCCCTCTCGCACGCCGGCTTTAACACAGTATTTCAAAATGAGGTTGTAGGTTTCACATGGCACAATATCAGAAATCAGCATGCAGTCACAGCGCTCTCAGTGTCACAGTGAAGGAGAAGCAAAGCAGCTAAACACTGGTGAAGAGGAAGGAAGACAAGCTTTGTGCATTTTAGAGGGGGGGAATAAAAAACCCAACAGCATCGCTTTAACTAATCAGAATAGTTACATGGCAAAGGAATGCATCTCTCCAACATAACAAAAAAACAGGAAATTAGTGTGATACATGGATGTCTAAACTATTTGAGACATGAAGCGTAGATTCATTTGGACTAATATTTAACAATGCTAACAGCTGTTTATGATTACTGACTGGTCTCTTTTGTTTAGCGTTATGCATTCAGAAAACTATTTCATGAAAAAAGTATGTATCACAGATTGTGATAATGATGCTAGGGGAAATTAGCTAACACGCTGATTTTAATTTTGTAAGCTGCAATTTCATTATTGTTCCAAATTTGTCAGATGAAGTACTTAGTAAAGATTAAAAATATTTTTGTTTGTTTTAGTCATTGCCTGCCACGTTTTGACTGAGAAGCAGTTTTATTTAGGACATCTAACCTCATTATATATCAGCTGAACTGTTTCCATTTACTTTTCTGACACTGCTGTCAAAGAAAATGCAATAATATGTGAAAATTGGTCCAAACTAAATTAATATTTTAAAGTGTGGCTCATTCACACTTTGGTTTAGGTTAACACTGATTCATCAGGCTTTTTTTTTTTTTTTTTTTTTCTTGATTAGAATCTCCAGATCCACGCAGCAGCAGGAACTGGTAACTATTTCATCTGGACGTGAAGGTGGTGAAGCTAGCCTGTTAGCATCACTGGCCTGTTAATTAGCAACTAGGCTTTGTTAATTAGCAACTAGGCTTGAGCTGGTACAAGTCTCGTGGTGTGATACTTTACCACAAATACGACAAAATTCACATTATTTTACACAAATATTTTAAAAACAGTGCACAATGTATAGCTTCTGCAGCATGACTGTTTGAATTTGTAGCCCAATTTGTCCTCGATGTAAAAGTGCAGTTTCTACGCATTTTTAATGTCCAGACTCTGAACTGGTCAGCCCTCAATTTAGAAATGTTCTTCAAGAATCTACAAACAATTTTTACAAACATAACATTTGACGAAGAATTTACTACAGCTATAGTTCTACGAAACAGGAAAAACGGAAGGAAACATCGGAAGAACGGACGGTGAAAAAACAAAAGAGGGAACGAAGAAAATACAGACAGGACGAAAGGTATGAAAGGTAGGAAGTAAACAAAGCAGGGAGGAAATTAAGAAAAGCGGGAAAGACAAAAGAACAGACAGGACGGATGGGGGAGAAAAGGAAAACAGGAAAACCGTACACGGCGGGGCGTTTTGAAACTGTGACTTTCTAAAACTTTTCTATACGTTCAGACCGGGCCAGGCCTATTAACAGCTGTGGGCCTTTTGAAGCAGGATTCTAAAAATCAAAATGGAAAAGACTATTGTTCCACCAAAAGAAAATTTTATAACAATACTCAAAACATTTACTTTTTTTTTCTTCATAACAGTTGAACAGCTTTAATGTGCACAGCTTAACATCTAAATGTTTCTTTCATCTTCACCATTGTATTGTCTCTGTTAGTTTGGTTACTAATAGCCAATCATTCCAAAACAAAAACCCCACCCATCCCTTCACTGTTTTAGCCACGGCTGGATGCTATCCAGAAACCTCTCCGAGTGTTTAATGACCTGGCAGGCATGAGCAGACTTGGCTCAGTCTGAATCACTGTGCTAATAAACGGAAAATTGTCAACAAACCAAAACCTGCTGGTTACTTTCACCCTGGCTGCTAACGAGAAAACCAGATGATGGAAGACCGTAAAATTTGATCACTTATTGCAGAGCAATGGAAAAGTTTATAGATTAATAAACAGCAAAGCAAGAAATGACACTACTGACTAGTTTTAATGACTGACTTCATTTAAATTATTACTTTGTTCAACAACATAACTCTGCTTTTAGGGCTAGTTAGGTAACAGTTATTGCTTTAACCAGTGGCTGACTGAGCAGTAGGTTTGAAACGGTGCAAAGGTTTTGTTTTAATGCTGAATACAGAATTGATTTTTTTATTGCCATTTTTGAATGAAGTAATGAATAAACGTTTGATGCTGTGACTACATTAGAAATGCTCTTTAAGGTATCTCTGACATGAGATAAATGGATAAAAGTTATTTGCAATGTTGAAAATAAAACTGAATTCAAGAAAACTGGAAAACTGGAGGATCTTTAAAAAAAAAAGAATTATTACAATACAGTGGCATATAAGGCCCATTGCAGATGGAAAAAAAAAAATCTGCAATGGGTAGAAAAATAGGGTGTGAATTTCTGCCAAAAATCTCAGAACTGTTAACATCAATCTTAGAATTTTTTTTTAAATAAAGAAATGTATGAATTTGAAACATTTTAAATGTGCTAGAAATCACCTGGAATCTTTGAGATTAATCAAAATTTTAATTCAAATTTTCTATAAAACCAACAAATTTAAAAAGTGAAAAATTTGCTGGGAACAACTCTGACATTTTCAAATTAATCTCAGAAATGTACTAGAAAATTTGTGACTTGTGAAACTCAGAAATGTCCAAGTTTTCTCCAGAGCTTTCTGTGATTCATCTCAAAATGTTTCTAGATTTCTTCTGCAGCAATTTTTTTTTTTTTAGTTTTCAACATCAGAAATTTTCTTGTTTTTTTTTTCTAGAAACTTTTTGAGATTTTTGGTGGAACTTTTTATTTTTAAAAACACTTTTCATCGCGTCTAAAGCCAATGTTATGAGACAATCACAATATATTTCATCTTTCTGGATAAAAATGCAGTTTTAAAGGCTGGTATAGAACGACATATTTTGTGGAAATAAAACCTTAACATGATGTAGTTTGGGAACACAGATTATGACAATATAAATGCACTTATATTTTGAATGCATGACAGGTGGAAAATAAGAGAAAATAATTTTAGACCCATAAACTTGAACAAATTTGGGTCACAGACCGTGATCGCTCAGGAAGCGCATAATCTCTGTACAATAGCAAAAACAAAACAAACAAAAAAAAAACCTTAAATCAATCTTAATAAAGTAAACAACAAACTGTACAAGGCACGTTTGAATTTCCACAGGCATATTTTTCAGGTCAAATGACTGTCTCTGTTCAAGAAACGGAGTGCAAATCTTGCCTCTTTGGTAAAATGATGGAGACTCGGAGGCCATTAGGGAAAATCAAACATTTTAGAGTTCCTTCCTAAAAGAGAAGAGTTCATAGGGGGAAGGAACAGGCATATGACATCATATATATATATATAAAAGAGTCAATATTTGATATATGTTCAAAACATACTCAAGAAGAATGCTACGTCTGCTGGGTTTTCCTAAGGCTAAACCTGAGAGTGGTCGTGGCTGCTTGTGTTGCCTTGCATGTACATTATTCGTCCGACCAGGAGGAGCAGAAGGCAGACACAAAGCATGGCAACAGGCTCTTGCTGGATGTGCGGCATCAGGTTTAGAGGGACTATATTCCGTTGGTGTCTTCTCGCCATCCTCTACAAAAGAAAGCACAAGAAAGGACACGACGTATTAGTGAGAGAAATGAAGAGTTTACAGCTTGATGAGTGTAAATTGCAGTACAACGCTTGTCAATTTTTCATAGTCGACATTGGTAAAATTTTTAAAATCCTTCTAAAACATGACTTTGACAACTTACAATCCAATGCCAGTATGTTCCAGTAAAACCAGACCTACTTCCCTCTCAAATTATATGGAAGCAGAAAAGGTGCACTTAGTTTTTCACACAACTGTACTCACAGTCGTTCGTTTCCCCAACAATACAAATGGTGCTTTGTGTCACAATTACATATTTCAGATGTTTAAATAAAGTTTATTAACAAAGACAACCGAAGTGAGTACAGAAAGCGGTTTTTTGAGTTATGATTTCATTTATAAAGGGGGAAAGTAAGCTTTTTAAAAACAAGCCAAAGTTAAGTGGGAATCCATCCGTCATATTGCTGTGGAGGAATTTTTGGCTCCATCTTCTAAACAGAAACATTTTATTTCAGCCACATTTGAGGTTTTTAGAGTATAAACATCTCCAGTTAGATTTAAATCTAGACTTTTACTAGACCGCTCTAAAAAGATATATTTTTTCTTTACCCCCTGGGATGTGCTCTTACTGGTGTGCTTTGGATCATTGTCCTGTTGGAAAACCTCCTTTTGCCAGTCCACAGACAATCTTTCCTGAAGTGTTGGGGGTCAACAATGTTTTTGGCAAACATGAGACGTCTTTTTTTTTTGTCAGCAGTTTTTGTTTTTCTTTGAAAAACTCTATTTTTGTCCAGCCCTTTTATTACACTGCATATCAGACTGATATCTTGATGAAGGCAAGTGAACAACGTCTAAAGCTAGTGCTTTTGCTATTTTTTCTGTAAGAAACAGATGAGAAATCCGTTATTTCCATAAATAATGTTAATTATTGGCACAAAAACAAACCACAGATACATTATTAGTGCCAAAATATTAGGTCAATGTCCAAACAGCTGCTCAGATGTATAAGAGGGCTGAAGACGATCCCCAAAGCTTCAAAGATTGTCTTTTTTCTATTATTACATGTTATTTATTTGACTCAATTCACACACTGCCTGACCACATTATTTCAAAGGACATTCTGTTCTATCAATAAAAAAAAAAAATAAAAATCCTCAGGCTCACATTAAGACATTTGATCAGCCATGAAAAGTTCTGAGTGTACAGTCCTAAACATCAGATGTTCAAGTGAGTTCAGGACTGACTGTGGCATAAAAAAAAATAAAAAAAATCAAAAGGACATACGTTCTGCATGTTTACATCCACAGGAAGCAGGTAAGTATAGACGTCAAACATCCTGCCACAGCTCTCTCTTTACCTTTGACTCTCCAGGTGCCAGCGCACGTTTTAATGCACATGTGTGCATTAAAACACACTTTAAAAAGTGTTTGTTTTCCAGCTTTTATAGCTCAGGTTTGTATGAAGGCTACTAATCTTTCTCAGACACCCTCTCCCTTTCCTTATGTACTGAAATTGTTAACAATGCTGTTAATTAAATAATGCCTCTTACCAAATAAGCCCTTTGTCATGGATTCATTTTAAGATTCCATTATACTCTTGTACTTTCCACCTTTTTTTTTTTGATGATAAACTCCTAAAACTTTATATTTCTGTACAAATTTTGATATTTTAGTGTAAATTTCTTCGACGTTATCTCACCTAAAACCGTCTCAGTGCTGGCCCCTTTCGGTCAAACGGTGCATAAGTGGCTCCGCCCACTTTGCTGACATTTTTATTAGTTATACTTAAAGAAATGAAGTTAAAGTTGAATATAGATTGGGTGGAAGGAGGGAAGTAACTTGACACTTGACTTGTCCTTCAAAGACTCTAGACTTGACAAAGACTTGGCACTTTACATGGAATGGGAAAATAATTCTTCTTTCCCGCCATTTCTTGCTATCACAACAGTTTGAACAAGATGAACGTTGGGTGGATATAAAAGTTCAACTGAAACATATTGCTAAGAGGCACACATATTGTTGTTCTAACTTGGCTTGCTTCCAGCTTCTGAACTTTGGAAACTGAAAATGAAAGGAAACAACACTTGTCACGCTTTAATAGCACGATACATGCACAACAAGCGGGCCGAATTGTGATGTGATTCTTAAAAGTGGAAGGCATACGCCCTGTTGGGGGCCCCATGTCGTCAACATGTTAGAAACAATAAATGCATATCTGGATGATTCACCCCGTCTGTTAGCTTTGGCAAGCGGAAATAACAAACTTCTCCCGTTGCAACCCGGAGTTTCGTATTACACAACTGGCAAATCAGTGTTTCCGTGATGAGAAGGAGTCGTGCTAAAAGGTGCAGGAACACCTGGGTGAAGAACTATTGGCAGCCTCTGATGACAAGTAGTTACTGTGAATGGCAATAAATAAAAAAAGACCTGGCGTGATGTGTCTGACAGCTGGAAGCTAAGAAAATACTGACAAGACATGTTGAAAGATTACAGTTCATTTAGGAGAAAAGCTGATGTCTATCCGGAAAATGACTTTAGAAAACAGAAAGAAAAAAAAATGAAGGTTGAGTTTCCAAATTGACATCAGCAGTTCAGAGGCTGCTGAGGAAAGAAAAAATACCTCTACTGCTTCTCTACTGGATTGAACATTAGCTCTACGAGCGGCAAAAACAGAAATGAGAAATTGTAACTCAATATTTATTTAAGTTTCACATCAGATGGTTCTATATCAGGCAGCTCTTCTCAGTAATTCACTCTTAAAACATTTGTTCAAACAATTAACTTAAACTCATGTGCTATTGTTCTTTATTTTGGGGTTGTTAGTGAACATTTTACTCACAAAGTGTTTCCCACTTGTTTTCCCCCAACCTCTCTATGGTGATTCACAGAAACTTGGCTGGATTTAGACCCACACAGTTAAGTTTTTTTTTTTTTTCTATTCCTGCTTGTTGACAGCTCTGTGCTTTGGACTTGGTTCATCGCTCAGCAGCAGATTCTCCACAATAACAGATCTGCCTGACTAATAAGAGAAATAAAAATTTCTTCTGGGTTTATGCACACCGGGAAGATTGTTATCAAACATTTTTCAGAAACAGTATGGTTCCTGTTGCTTAAAAAAAAAGAGGATATCCACCATGCAAAGTACAGGGTAGTTTAAATTTCACAAACTAGAAACAAATATTTTGATTTATTACCACTTTTGGTGGTTTAGTGCAAATAGCGTTGCTAATATGTCAGTGGACTTCTCAAAGTAAGAATTGCTTTCCTTTTCAGAGCTCTCTCTTTAGGGTTAATAGACTTTGAGACAACTCACAAAACCATTTTGGAGGAATGACAGTAAAAAGTTAAGGCTACGCTGTACCTCTAAGGTGACACTGCTTTAAATAAACTCACACTGTTTTTCTCATTCTAATAGATACAACTTCAGGAAAATCTTTTTTTTTCTGCAACAAGATCATTTACAGCAATGTAAGAACTTTTTTTTTAATTATTTTTTTTATAAAAGCAACTGTACCCAGTGTTTTTTCTATCCCCATTTCAAGCCCTACAACCTAAGTTGGCATTCAGCCAATAAAATGCAGCCTGTCCGGAAGGACTTTACAATACTACCCAGTCAATGGCTGGCAGAGAATAAACTTCCAGCCGCGGGGCAAGACTTCACTCTGAAAAACAGGATCTTTTCGGATGAAAGTAAGAGAGGCATATCAAAGCCGGTGTGGTGAGCCAGAAACCACAGAAAAGCGTATTGCCAGCAGAGGAAACAGGTGAGGGGAAGACTATTTAACCCTACATTTGAAACACGGTCTGGTTCTAATTTCACTTCTCACTTGGATCCAAGTCAAACACACTGCTCACAGATGACTACGTAAACCTAAATAAATAAAGCGCTCCTGATTGACAAAGAACAAGCTTTGCATTCAAACGTAGTATTATAAAAATGAGTGACAAATCAAAGAAAAATCTGTATCTTTGACTTCTACCCAGAGGGAATCTTGTACCGTTTTTAAAGTGATGTAATTTTTTCGGATTTAGTTTAAGGAATATAATTTATTTATTTATTTATTTTCCCATCAAAGTAGTGCACATGCCTAACCTGGACTGGTACTACAAACATTTCTATACCGCCTTGGGTTTTGACAAGCAAAGAGGTGGAACCACTTATTTTAACCACTTAAAATGTCCAGTTGTGATGAGCTACAAGTTTTATTTTGATTATTTGTAGAGAATATGTTCTCTGAAAGACAGTTAAGCTACACAAATCCCATAATTAATTTCTGGATATCTGAATTTATTAACGTCGTTTTAACCAACATGGACACTCCACAGTCGTGATCAACTAATCTCTGGAAACTGTAGTTAAACACAGTGTTGTGTTTGTGGTGCAACATTTTGATTGGTTGGCAGTCTCCATAAACCTTCCTGAGAACCTTCTTCTGGCCCTGAACCAGTTTACCAGTTATAGAGACACTGCCTCCAGTGGTGGAATCATAAAAAACAGCTACTGAGCAAACAGCAGCATCGGTTTTGGCACTAGACTCTGTCTTTCCATTTCCATGAAATCCATTTCCACTGAATTGTGTTTGTAAAAGAAGTCCAAAGTACAACAGTGAAGTGGACTTTGTCAACACATGTTTCTGAATCATGAGACTTGGGGAAGGTAATAAGGTAAAACTGTATGCAAATGGACTCTGACGGGAACATAAAGGTGGAAGAAGTTTGTCACAATTGTTACGATTCCCAGAAAGTGAAGTACACTTTATCTCTGTACATATTTTACATACCATCACATAATTATGTGATGGTATATTACATCATAGGGTAATTACCCTATGATGTAATAGCAGTAAATGGAGAAATAAAAGACTATTGTTTTGCCATATAAATGACAAAAGAGACAATGTTAATAAAGATTTTTGGTACATATCTGGGGCACTGATCAGTATGTTTTTGATATGATTCAATGCAGCAAGTGCAGCTGTTGGGAAAATGGGAAACTGTTGGGA